GAAGAGGTTACATAAGCTTTGATAGTTGCAGAATAAATGAAAGTCATGAATCAATGTGTTAATAAAACACATGTGTGTGTATGTGTATGTGTGCTGGGGGGGGGAACCAGATAGATGGGCTACAGCAAAGCAGGGAAATCTCTCTGTAAGATTCATATCTTATTGCCTTCTTAATATTAGGGTTGGTGGAGGCTGAACCTCTGTCAGGCTTAGCATAGATTCCAAGAATTTTATCTAGTGGTCATGTGGGCGTTAGGTCAGATACAGAGGTTGATATTAAATGGCTATTAACAGGCACTAAAGTGCTGGAGAGGTTGGCACGTGCCTATAATCCCAGCACTCCGGAGGCTGAGGCAGGAGGATTGTGAGTTCCAGGCCAGCTGGACAACATAGTGAGATTCTGTCTCAAAAGAAAACAAAACAAAAAAAAGCCTGGCGCTAATGGATCATGCTTGTAATCCTAGGCAAAGATCAGGAGGGTCATTGTTCAAAACCAGTTCCAGGAAAATAGTTCACAAGATCCTATCTTGAAAAAAACTAATATAAAAAAGGGCTGAAGGAGTGGTTCAGTGATAGAACACTTTCCTAGGTAGTGTGAGGCCCTGAGATCAAACCCCAGAACCACACACACCTACACCAACCCCCCTCCAAAAGTACTAAAGATAGCCCCAAATAACTTTGGTTCTTTATCTGCAACACTTCATCTCTCCAGAATCATGATGTTCTAGTCAGCTGAGGTCAAAGAGTTTGCAGGCTTTTTTTTGCTTGAAGCTGGTCTCAGTCTGTGATCTTCCTATCCACGCTTCCTGCATAGCTGTGATTACAGGTATGTATCACCATGCCTGAGATGGTGTCTTGGTAACTTTTTTCCCAGGCTAGCCTTGAATCTTGACCCGTCTATCTCTGCCTTTTGAGTAGGTGGAATTACAGTTGTGTGCCACCATGCCTGGCCCTGGCTTCTTGAGAGATGTTCAGTTCACAGGGTGTAGCTCAGTGGTAGAACACTTGCTAACATTTACAAGGGCCTGGGTTTGATCCCGAGCACAGCAAAAAGAAAAAAAAAGAAAAAACCTCAAAACATTTTATTTTGGCTCATGGTTCTGGAGGCATGGAAGTACAATAGCTCAACTTTGCATCTGCTCACCTTCTGGGGAATGCCTGGGCTGTTCAGGTCATTGAAAGAGGAAGGTCAAGCTCAGACCCCTCCCACCCGGCCCCATCTTCCAGCACTGGGCATTAAGGTTCCAACACATAGCAAGATACCTACCACTGAGCCGAGGTTACTGGAGAGAAGAGTGCTTGGCTGAATCTCCCCAGTGAACCTCCTCAGTGCTACCAACCCAACCCATAGGCTGAGCCAGTTGTGGTGACTCCTGTAATCCTAACTACTCACGTAGGAAGCAGAAATCTGGAGGATGTGGATTGAGGCCACAGGGAGACCTCATCTCAACCAATGGCTGGGCGTGGTGATGTGTGCCTGTCATCCCAGCTATACAGGGAAGCATAAATAGGAGGTTTACAGTCCAGGACAGCTCTGGTATAAAGTGAGACTCGATCTCAAAAATGACCAACAAGGCCAGGAGCATGGCTCAAGTGGTAGAGCATCTGCCTAGGAAATGCAAGGTCCTGAGTTCAAAGCCAGTATCATAAAATATATATATATATATATTCTAACCATTAGTCCAATTAGTTTTTATCAGAATTACATATTGTGGGATCTTGTTCATGTCCTTCAAAATGGGAGAAAGTCCTCAGGGCTCAATCCCATGGAGCAACATTAGTCAAGAGGTGAAAATCTAGCTTTCATGGCCACCTTCTGGAAAAGCAGAATCGACACAGCTCTCATCTCCATCACACAGAGGCATGCCAGTGCTGTGACCCAGTCCTGACCAACTTCTGGTTCTTCAGAGTCCCACTCCCAATCCCTACCCCCGTGACCTGATCACATAGAATAAATTGTTGATCATGAAGAACTGCCACCAGCCAATAGCTTTCTTTCTTTCTGACTTTAACAAGTAGGTTTCTGCTATGTATTCCTTTCAAATGTTGAATACAAGGTACATTTACTCAACTGTAGTCACCTCTGTGCTGATGGGGAAGAGGCCACTGACAGGTGGAAGTGCCATGTGTGACTTTATAAAAGAAACTGCCACACTTTCCCAAAGGGCCTCACCATCTGCCACACATCCTCTAGTGCTATATGTGAGCCTCAGTTCCTCCATACTCCCACCAGCACGTGGAATTGTGAGTTTTGTGTGTTCTGATTTTAGCTTTCATTCATTCATTTACAGTAGTATCTCATCATGGTCTTAATTAGCATTTCCCTGAAGAGTACTGATATTAAGTGTCTTTCTTGTGCTTATTTGTTCTTTTTCTTTGGTGAACTGTCTCATCAAATATTTTGGCCAGCACATATTCTAAAATTGGAACGATACAGAGAAGATTAGCATGGCCCCTGTGTAAGGATGACAAAAGGTGCATATGGTCCAAGTCCTGAACTATGTCAAGCACCATGACGGTGTAAGGGAGCAATGACAGTGGTGACTCCATTTTGGATGAGGGAGACATTTCAGAAGCAGACACCTGAAGGGGCATGAGAAACAACAGACTTCTCAGAGAAATAACAAGCCCCTTACCAAGATAACAGAAGGCAGCTACAGGATGTGGGTGGTGGGCCCCAAGGCCAGGATGAACTGACCAGTCCTTTCCAAAATGTTCTGTTTGATAAGGATGGTGACAGGCAGGTGGCTGGGTTCAGTGAGAAGTTGACTAGGTACCAATCAATCACGAGTATAATTTCAAGGTAGAATTGTTGTACCTAGGCCAGGCAGAGCCCTATGTCACCCGTAGACTTCAGCTGTACTATGCCTTAGCTTTTCTCACAAAACCCCTCCGTGCAGGTGCTTTGCTGTTCTTTCAAAAAACCTTAAGCTTGCTTATTCCTAACTCCTAGCCTGGCGTCTTCAGTCATCAACTTTGCTTGGACATAAACTTAGGATCAACAATCCAGTATCAAGGGTCTGAGATTTTTGCCTAACTGCTAGCCAACAAGTTAACCTGCTCTAGTTTTGTGGATGCTGACAAGAGACATGAGACCCCTGGGTTAGAGACAACAACCTATGCCAGAGTGTTGGCATATCCACAAGATTTCTTTTTAAATATTACTTTTATCTTATTTATTTTTTTGAGGCTGGATTTTGCTGTGTTGTCTAGGCTGGCCTTGAACTCCTGAGCTCAAATTATTCTTGTGCCTCAGCCTCCTGTGTAGCTGAGACTATAGACCACCATGCACAGCTTTTTAGAAGGGTTCTTGGAGCCCCAATTCCTAAACGTTACATGGAAGGTCATGTGACCCCTACATTTGCAATGTGAAAGGGCCAAGAACTTTTTTGTTGTTGCTTTCTTTTTTTAGTAAACAGCAAACTTTGCTGGCCCCCAGTAATGAGCACATGGGGTACACACTCTGCAGGCCCTGACTTATTTAGCTTCCTGAGTGTCTAGTGTCACAATGACTTCACCTCAGGAGATGGAAGCCTTGGAGCCTGGTACACTCACAGCACAGCACTACAGGGATGACCAGGGCCGGGGGGGGATGGCTGAGTGCTCTTCCAACAATATATGTGACATCTCCTCCAGAAAAGCTGTCTCAGGTTAATCCTGTCTTCAATTTTGGGTGGAAGAAGTGTACATTCAAAAGACTCTACCGCAGATATGGAAATTTGATTAACCCACGGTATTTAGTCAGTTCGAAGAGCTGAAAGACGATTTATTTTCATTGCATTATTTTTCATCTCTCTTCTGTGAGGGTGACTATCTTTTCCAATGTTTATTGGTAATTTGTGAAATGGTTCTTTAAAACCTTATCCCTCCCCTCTGAGATTTCTCTTCCCAGGTTCCTGATTCAGAGACAGCAAATTAAAGGAAGACTTCCACTTATCCTCTGAATGTTCGCTTGCAGCTTGAGTTCTGATGACGCTGTGACATTTCCTCTTCCACTTGTGCTGTTTGGACACAATCTTTTGTCATGCTGTGTGTGATTCTTTTTCTTCCTCTTTCTGTCTGTTCCCAGCTTCAAAAGAGTCAGAGGTCAGGGCATTTTCTCTCTCTCTTCTTAATTTTTCCTTTTTTGTTAGCTTATATTAATTGTGTAAGATGGGTTCATTATGATGTTTTCATACATGAATACAATACACTTTGACCATATTACCCCTATTACCCTCTCCTATCCTCTGTCCCCTCTCCAGCTGGTCCCTTTCCTCTTCCCAGATAGTCCCTCTTCTCCTTTCATGTCGTTTTATTTTTAACCTTTTTGATTTTTGATTAATCTCTTGGTTTTCTGAGACAGGGTCTCGCAACGGAGCCCAGGCTGGAGTGGAACTCATGAGTCCCTGGCATCAGCCTCCCAAATCCTGGGATCACAGCGCCTCCCGGCTTAGTTGTTGAGATGAGGTCTTACTAACTTTTTTTGCCCAGGCTGGCCTCCAGTTGCGTTCCTTCTGTCTGCAGCTCCTGAGGGCTGGGATTACAGACATGCACCACCACTCCCGGCTTGGCAGTTCCTTTTCCTTATACCTCTTATAAGAGGCGTTACTAACCAACAAGAAATCCTGGTGAAGGTTTCTTTGGGGTGTTTTGGGGGAACAGCCTGGCAGGGTCCCCTCCTGTGGACGCTGATTTTACGGTACACAGTTAAGAAACTGAAAAATAAGCAAAAATTACTCTAGTTAGAACTGCCTAGTCTCCGCGTTTTCCATCCCGTTTCCAGGAGCTTGGTCCTGCCCCGCGGGCAGCTTGGGCAGCTCCGCCAGGTCCCGGGCTCCAGCAGCCAGGCCCCCGTGCGTCCGGGATAGCGGCGCCGCGCGGGCACGCACTAGACTGGACCGATCGCTCCGCCCCGCCCGCCTCGCAGCCAATGGGTGCCAGTTACGTCCCGCCCTCTGCCCCGCCCACCGACGCATTGTAGCCAATAGGCGCGGGACCCGCCCCGCCCTTGGCACCCACGCGCCTCGTTGCGTTCTGCTGTCTGTGGTCTGCTGAGGTCCCCGGCCCAGACAGGCTCCCGGCCATGGCGTCCTCTGAGGCCGGCGGCGTGGTGATCGTTGGAAGGTAAAGGCCTCCGTCCCTGCGGGAGGGTGCAGCACCAGCCTTTGCCCTGGCAGCCCCAAGGAGCTTGCGAGGCTTGGAGAGGCGTCCAGGGCAGCGGCGGAGGCCTGGCAGGCGGAAGCACCCCGTGTGGTGCTGGTTCTGAAGACCTGGGGTTGTGCGGGATGACGCCGGGCCCCCTGGCTAATCTAACCCTTACACAGGTGCCGCGCAATTAGATATGTCCCCCTCCCTCCCGTACTGAGGTTCGAACTCAGGGTCTCGCTCCTGTTAGGCAGGTGATTTACCACTGAGCCACGCCCCCAGCCCTTTGGGTATTTTTTCACATTTATGCCTCGCGGGCCTGTGACATCCTATTTAAGTCTGATGACTACAGGCACCTGCCACCTCTGCCTGGGCTGGCCTTGGCCGGCTGAGCATTCTGTATTAGTGAAACCAGTTCTGGCTGCGATCCCGCTGGAACTGTGTTCTTGTTCCAGTTTTACCAGTGAGAAAACTGGGGTCATAAATGACGGAGACCGGAGTAGCTCAGCTAGGAGAGTTAAAGCAAGGTTCTCAGGAACCCCTGTCCAGCGAATATTCCTAATTCGTGGACAAATGGTGTTTCCCGAAAGGAGAGGCGGTGTCAGTCGAACAGCCTAAATCCCACTGATTGCTGCTCCCACACCCCCTTTTTTTTTTTCCTCCTAATTGCTGCTTTTCTATTTAAGAAACGGGTGGGTCACGTGTAGCTATTCTATCAACTTGTGAATACTTGTTACTGATAGTGAAAAACACCTTTTTGGTGGAGCTTAGGCTTGTGCATGTCCATTTATGCTTTTGGGGTGGTGGCAGGCCCGACACTCCCTCCCCTCATCAGTTTACAATCCAGTCTGGAGACCAAGTTCAAGGTCAGGGTTTTTCCTGTAGGGCTCCCTGAGGGAAGGCCTCAAGATGCTTGTCACTTGTTTTTCACATAGAACAGTGGTATTAACTGCACTTTTGTCCTTTCTGGATCTGTGGGTGTTTGTGGTCCAGGTGTGAGGAAATACAGAAAAGTGCACTTTGCACCTGTGGTGGTAATTATGCCTATCTTGCATTTTAGCCATGGAAGGTCAAGGGCTAGAGTTTTGCATATCTTACAGCTGGTGTTCTGATAGATGTTAAGTGCAGTACTGAGTTGATTATTCATTTTTTGGCTGTGGATGGTTCACAGTCTCCAGAGGAGTTGCAATTGGCAGTCAGTTTATTTCTGATTTCTTAAGGGATTTTGATGAGCAACCAGAAGAGGATTGGCAAACTCTAAGGATCATGGGAATTACCTGGGGTCTCAGCTTTTCCCTAATCTCCCTCTCTCTCTCACTAGCTCTTTCTTTCCTGGCCCCATACGTGATTTAACAAATGAGACTTGGAACACAAAATGATTTGTTAAAATCCTGGCTGACAAGGCATGGTGTTGCATGCCTGTAATTCTGAAACTGGACTTTTAGCCCCCAGGCCCAACTCCTGGGCCTCCTTCTCCATGTCAGGTCCCAGCACTGGCCTCAGGCCAAATAAAGAGGTCAGAAAACAGAGGGTTATTAAGTGGCCAAGGACACACCATGGGAAGAGATGTGAGCACTTCAGCCCATCTTCAGCCACCTTCAGAGCACAGACAAGCTTTAAATTTATTTTATTTTATGGTGGTACTTGAGTTTGAACAGATGCTTTACCACTTATACCACATCTCCAGCCCCTGAGTTTTAGGGTTATATAGACAAGGAATTTGGGCAGGGGGAGAGGTATGCATAATTATTAAAGAGCCCTGGTCACAGTTGTGTTCCAGTAGATCATTCTCTCAGTCCTTATTTTGGGAGGGGTTCCAAACTCAGGATATACAAGTGATTGTGGCCCGGTAGGTGGACTGTCCTGTGGGTCTCTACTGCTTCTTTCCTTATGGGCAATTTTCTCCATCTGCCCTTGTAAACATGTTATGGATTTGTCCTGTCTTTCCTGGATTACACGATAGTGCAGGAGAGAATGACTTGGAACAAAGGACATAGATACAAAAGGGAGGTAGGGATGCCAGGCCTTTCTCCTGCTTGTGATTACTTCATGGACCCAAGTAAGAAGTCATTGCTTTTCAGCAAAATCAGTGTTTCAGCACCTGTTACAATTCCAGCCTATAACTCTAGCATTCGAAAGGTGGAGGCAGGAGGATGTCCAGTTTGAGGCCTGCCCGGGTGAGAGTCTGTCTCAAACAAAACAGAACCAAATCAAACAAAACCAACTGAGTTTCATTCATTTTTTGTTTTGTTTAGTTTTTTCTTAGAGACAGCATCTCCCTATGTAGCCCAGGCTGGTCTCAAACTCTTTATTTTCCTGCCTCAGCCTTACAAATGCTGGGATTACAGACATGTACCACCACACTTGGCTCTGGGTTTCATCCTTAGTCAAAATATATATATATATTGCCAGGTGCTGGTAGCTCATAGCTATAGTCCTAGCTACTCTGCAGGCAGAGATCAGGAGGATTGTGGTTCAAAGCCAACCTAGAAATAGTCAGAGAGATCCTATCTCAAAAATACCCATCACAGAAAAAGGCCTGGTGGAGTGACTCAAGTGGCCTGCCTAGCAAGCCTGAGGCCCTGAGTTCAAACCCCAGTACCATCAAAAAAAATTCAAAATACAAATATTTCAGTTTCAGGAACCCATTATGCCATGTTTTTTCCATCTTCTTGGTTTTTAGATTCTTTTAGATTAAAAGTATTTCTTAGAAATCATCTTGACTTACCTGTTTTCCTCAGAACCACTTAGCGCTGTTACCCCTGTGAGCCCTCTCAGAATGGTGGGGGAAGAGTGGATCTTGAGCGATGAAGGGTGGGGAGATTGAGATTGGGTCCAGGACTGCAGGAAGAAAAAGAGGAAAATCTGGAAGGACAGCTTTTAGCAACAGTTGTGAATGTGAGCGTGGGAGGACATCTTGCATTCTTCTGTTAGCCTCACTTTTACATAACCCGGTTTCCAATCTCTGAAATATGAGTTTGGTGTTCATTTACATACTGTTGGGTGTTTGTAGGCCCAAATTTTAGGCCTTGAGCTGTTTGAAATAGAAACCTGCTGGGGAAGGGCCACATTGTGCTTGTTCCTGGTGCCTGACGGGCCCTTCTCCTCTCATATTCCAGGAGGCACACTCCTTCAGCACTCAGCTCAGGAACCAGCTCCTCCAAGAAAAATTCTGCTTCTGGAACCTTCCCCTTAGTGTAGAAACTGGGCCCCTGTTTGTGTATCTACCATACCTGGTCCCAATGCACAGATGGTTGAGTGTTTATCACGGAGATTGCATGTATATACGTTGATGTTTTCCCTGGGGAGGATGTTGTTTTATGTCAAGCAAGGGGTCCTATGCACTAGAATCATTTTTAAGACTCCCAGAATTTTATTTTGAGTGAATACTTACATTTTTTTATAAGAACCTCTGTGGGGTGCATATTTTCTTCAAAGTGCTATTCTAGGTATTTTCCTGCAAATTTTTCTATTACTTTTTTCCACAGTCAAAACCTCAGGATCCCCTAGCTGCCTCTGAGTCAGCTCAAACACTCATGTGCCCTTCCTAGGAAACATTTGAGAGCTCATACTGGCACAATTTCCATGGTTGACTTAGATCAGGAGCATCCAATGGAAAGATAGCTTGAAAAGTATCTAGAGTGGGTTTATTTGAAGTTAACTGGACCAGTGTTATTACTTAGCCTTTCTCCGCAGCGGCTTTGCTGCTGTGTAATAGAATGAATGTTCACCTGTAGTGACTGAGATTTACACATTTTGAAGCTTTAAGGTATATCAGAATGCAAAGGACTTTGAATTATCTGTATCACTGGCTGTCATTATCTGGTCACCAGGTATCTAGTGGTTTAGAAAGTTAATGGCATAGGCTCTGAGGACAGGAGGCTAATTATATTTGGGCTTAAAGTAAAGTAGTATTAGGGACAAGAAAGCTGAGGGAAACAAAGGCAAGGAATTCTCCAGCTCTGGGGTAGGGTCTGTGACCTCCATACCTCTATTAGATCAGTAGATTTCTAAAGGTGTATGTGTATAATGGCACAATCCATAATCCCAGCATTTGGGAGGATGAAGGCAGGAGGATAGGGAGTTTGAGGCCAGCCTAGACTATACAGTGAGACCCTATTCCAAAAAAAGTTCACTGTTTTTATTTGACCAAAGATATTCATTACCATGGAGTTCATTATTGTTTCTATTTTTTTAAATCAGGACTTGAACTCTCAATCCTACTGCCTCTGCCTCCTGAGATCTGGGATTACAGGTATGCCCTTGTGCCCAGCAACAGTGTCAGTTTTGATACAGGCTGTTAGACTGCCTTCCAGACACTCCACACCAGTTCCCTTCACTGGTGTGGGAGTGCCTATCTTCACGTAGCTTCAACAGCTCTAAGTGCCAGTTTTCACTGTCATTCTGATGCATAAGGTTTATTTGCCATTATTAGATTGATATGGTGTTTTCTTGCTATTATTAGACTCAGGCAGTAGCATATGTCTTCAAGCTCATTTTAATTACAGTAGACCCTTGGAATCAGCAGGTATGTGGTTCCAAGGAACCCACGTTGGGGGATGTAGAGTCAGTGCTGTTGGGCAGGTGCTTGATTCATGTTTCCCATAATGCCACACAACTTCTGCTAAATAAGTACCTCTCAACAGATCTCAAATAATTCTGTCACTCCATTCAAGCACTTTCATAGTAAGGCGAGGTGACCGTACCTGGTTTCTATCCCCTTTTTATATGGTGTATTCATCTTTCTCTTCAGGACTTACAGGAAGTTTTCTATATTTATGGTATAAATATTATTTCCTTTTGGAAACCTTGCCTTATGTTGATTTTTTTTTTAAACAACAAACAGCGTTACTAAGATCATTTAGTGAATTTCAGAACCAGTACTCAAACATGAGGAGCCTTGTGGCCTGGGGGTATGAACATGTCTTTGATGAAAACCAGTGCTCTAATGTAATTCTCTCTTTCCCTTCAAAGCTCCC